TGTATGCTCCTTCTATGTCAAGAATGTATTGACAGGTTTCCTCAAGCTGAATTCATTTCTTGGAATTAAACTATGTCTTTATTATTTCTATTTAGCCTATTTGTTTCTGTTTTCTTAATTTACACACTCTATAAGCAGTGTGTACAAAAGGAATGGATGATTATATTAATGGCTTTTAACAGTGGGAATTATAGTAACAGCCTCAAATCATGGCTTAATTAAAAGCAACATCTCTTCATCAAACACACAAAAATTTCCATGCATGCAACTGTTCTTGGTATTAATGCACCTGCTAGCAGGGAATTTCAATTTATCAACTTGGCTTAAATAAAAATCCTTTTGAATGGCTGAGCTTTTCATCTCCTGATATGGAAGATAGATATATTTATAACTTCATATTTTCTTTTACATATTCAACCAATTCTTTTCTAAAGTTTCCATATTATCCCTTTTTATCTGTCATCATTTTGTACAGTATTTCATTTTGTTGTTCATTTGCTAAGTTGTGTCTGACTCTTTGCAACCCCACGGACAGCAGCATGCCAGGCTTCCTTGTCCTTCACTATCTCCTGGAGTTCATTAAGTTTTGTTTTTATTTTGTTATTTACAATATGCACAAAATGAAAATGTTATAGTGAATGGTGCTTTATGCGTACTGTGAAAGTGTTATTCTGAGGGTAGACAAAGTTAAAATAACAGTCCTTGGCCTAGAAGTTCACACTTTCGGAAATCATTTTGAAAATTCTAAGAGAAATCCAATACTTTGAAAATGAGTTTTAATAGTCATTAAAAAGAGCTTTACAATGACATGTAATTTATATGAACATATATTGTGAAAGGACATATCTGAACATGCCCAACACAATACCGATACACAACAGGCATCCAGCGAACAGAAGCCCGTATCGTCACATTTGGTCACCACTCATATGTTCTACTGTATAGAGGCAGTGAGGTCTGCTGTTCAAACAGACCACATAGAGCCAAGCAGTGCCTGCAAGGCTCTAGTCTGAGGTTATGGATTTTAGTTTAGTTCTTCTCTCTCCACCTTGGCAGAATAACACACTGTTATGCGCTAGGCACATGAGGGGATCTTGTTAGGTACTAAAAATATATGTGTGAATGTCTAGGTGAGGAGAAGTTCTGATTTAAAAAAAAAAGATTTCGTGATAGGATTCTGGGCACAAGTGCAAGAAAGTGTTGCAATCTGGCCATTGTGTGCAATGGAAACACAATACTTTCCCTTCTCTTAGATTAACTTCCTATCAAGTTATAAAAACAAATTCTGACCCTTAAAGTCAGTCTGTCAGATTCTTAATCTAAATCAGAGTTTTATGGGCTTAGTGCGTATACCTCAGAACTAAATCCAAGCTTCACACAGTGTGAATGAATGAAAAAACACTGAAATTGGGGATCAGAAAAAAGAAAAAAAGAAGTAAAAGTCATCCAAATAGTTAAGAAGCAACGCCTGGGTCCCTCGATCTCAACTTCAGTAGATGAGTCTCCACAATTGACTTTCAAGTCAGCTGCGTGTGAACAGTAGCCTGTGAGCACAACTGTGTCCTGGCAGTTGCTCTAGAAAAAGCTCGGCAAGATGGAAACTTACAGCAAATTTTTTGGAACACATTAGGCATATGGTTACAGCAAAGGGTCAGGGCCTCAAAAAAAAAAAATTTCAGCTTATTATTTTTTTAAAAAGTTTCCCCAATAAGCTATTAAGTCCTTTATAGCACATACACAAATATTTCCCAACCTCCCTCAATGAAAAATAAGCTCTACAAAATCATCTCCCATGACATACATCAAAAAACAAACCAAACAAAGTAAAACAGAAAACTTCAACTTGCTGTTGTGATATAAACTAATCTTTCTGAAAAAAAAACCTAGATTACTGGGGTGAACAGTACATCCTAGAAATAGGCTAACCACAGCTCCAGTTCCAAAAATTCACTAATTGGCCATTATTTGGTGAGATCTGTCTTTCTTCACATCTCAGGGGTGGGGGGGTGGAGTTCAAGAGTACTGGCCTTAGCTCTTCTGAGTCAGGGAAGAACAGCAAGAAGGGGCCTTAGTAACCTTTTACTTCAGGGACTGAGTGACTAACACTGCTGCTGCAGGCCTGGTGTTTGTCTTTATTTATCAGTTTAAAACAATCATCACTGAGTTGTCATAAGGCTGACGGAAACTCCACCAATACTTTAAAAAGTGACAAGACTTCTGTTTCAGTGAATAGCTTCACAAGATATTGTCTTCATTTTAATATAAAATGTTCCAGATATACATATCTGAATAGAAAAAGATACCAACATTTAAAAAATATACAGCATGTAATAGACTTTTCTCCTCAAATCTGAAATAAAAGATTTGAAGATTCAAAGTTACATTAATGCAAATATCTGCCTGTTGCAAGTATGCTTTCTGATTAAATTGGCATACATCAAGTACAATTAGAAAGGTTATTTATAACGAAGAAATACATAATTCTGCATCTTAATGGGGATGACAATTACAGCTGACGGTTGCTAATTAACATTACTTCTGCTCTGGATCTCAGATATTTCTTATATGATCTTTATGCTGGCAATGGACACAACTAATTCTAGAAGGCCCAAAAGGGTTAATTATCAGAAACATTTCTGCTTATAACAAATTCACTGGTAACTTGCCCAGCTCTGGCTCCTCACTGGAGACCAGAAGATCAAGCAGAATTGGGTAAACTCTGACTCAGAGTCTTGTCAGGAAAAGTATTTATTCAACTTTCTTTGTGAGCAAAGGTGCACCTACCCACTGGTATTCAGAATGACCGGGAGAAAAGTCCCTCCAGTCTTCTCTTCAGGTGTAATGATCTAGGGGTGTTGCCTGTTCCAGTCCAGCAGAAATGCATGGCACTGTTTAGTTCAGTGGTGCCACCTTCTTATGCCAAGATGCCCACTTTCTTGGACACCTCAGGGGTGTGTGATCAGCGTTGGAGGCCAAATGTAAAACAGAAAGACAGAAGCATTGCCACTCTCAGCACAGAAAACTATAAAGCCCTCTTTGCTTGTGCTGTAAATTACATATTTATTTTGTTAGCATGAGATAGATGAATATTTTCACACACAAAGGTGCCCTGCTAAAATCAGGATAAGTGATATTAATGTCCTATGGTCAGTATTATTGAACCTCGAAAGCAATAAACTTTATGCGTCAATAAATATTACATTTGCAACATAGTTAACATTCCTTTACTGTCTCTAGCACTTATTACACATTGTAACCGCAAGTCTACAATACATTATTCATATTTGGGGTGTCACCAAGTGATGGATTGCTGTAGGAGAGGCTGTCCTTTAAATAAATCAACAAATAAAAATGCAAATGTTAACATTTTCAACCACAACTTTCCCCATCTTGAATGGGGAATGAAAATTTCACATTATACTGACAGGCAGCAGAGAGAACAATTAACAACCTACACTGTGAATGAGAAAGATGATTTTTCCACGCTGGGTTTTATCACCTGCACATGGACCCATATGGGACTCTCCTAGGTGTTAGCACTTTACAGAGAACAAAGGAAAAACTGTCTCCCATGGCCCCTGTTCCATCCCCATCCTTTTCTGCAGGTCTTGACAACTCTTGGAATTTTGGGTAGACAGGGAAAGGGCTTTTATTCTTGTTCTTCTCAGTACTGTCAAAGGTTTCTTGGAATGAAGAATAACAGGCTTTCCTTTTGCATTAAAAGCTTATATGTAAAAGTAGTCTATAAAAATTCCTTTTCTACACTTTGAAATAAAAATAATTCAAATAATCTTGATTCTGAAGTCTGGAAAGCAACCACTGTGTTTTCTTGGTAACTGATTTTCATAGTACTGAATCTTTCTTTTCAACTCTGCACTTTGTATTGCAGACCTATAATATGCCATCATGCACTTTTAAGGATAAAATCTGGGGTGCTGCACATTGTTTCATTTAGCCAAATGCTCATTATTTAAGAAGCTTCTGAGAATCTGTATCTAGCTCATCTGCAGCATTAAGAACTAACAGAGAAAGAATCCTGTTTTTAAGGTCTGTAGATATGAGTCTTCACCGCGATTTTAACCTGGGCTTGTAAAACTCCACAAAGTTGATATGGTCATTTCAGAAAATGTGTGCTGAAGATGTTCTATAAAACCCTTACTGGGGAAACATTTTATTCTTCCTTTTCATGCCTCTCACGAAATTGAAGTGCAATCATCAAAAACACATTAGAGTAGTGTTTAAGATCTGATTCAAGATCTTAGCATCAAAGATAGGAAAATTCATTTGAAAACCCAGATTGCCTTTCCTCTTTACCTTAACTCTTCCATTACTATTATCCTCTGTGCTGAGTCATTTCGCAAAAGTTCTTTAAAATTAAGTCTTAAAAATCCATATTTACTGGATAAGATGCTAGGAATTTAAGTGCTTAAAAAATCATATCCCCAAGGAAACACAAACATGCCCTTTTGGTGTTAATGTTTATATATTCAGCCTTAAATGTATAATATAGGAGTTGGCTTACTAGACATGAGAAATTTTAATAACATATTTCTTTTCTTGACTGTAGAAAAGGCCAATCAAAGTATTAGCTCCTCAAATGTCTCTGGTATAAGTAAATGTTGAGTCATTTAACTGTAGTACAAAACCCACTATGGTTTTCAGTATCAATTGATTCAGTAAGTTAAGCCTATAGTCCAAGTATATAACAATTTCAGGATAAATTGGGTAGGACCTGCTCCTAAACATTTTCTGATGAAAGGTAAGATTAGCTTTGTGTTTCCATGGAAACCCTGTCAATTACCATTACCAATTAAGGACAAGCATGGATAAAGGAAAGGGCTCCAGGAGTTCTACCTGGTCATATCTAGACACTTCCAAATAAGGGCCTCTCTCTTGAGTTGGAGACATTAAGAACTGTTAAAATTTTTCACTTTTTGTTAAATAACTCAGCAGAAGTTCTCATCTGGAGAATGGTAAAGCAAAAAACCCCGAAAACTCACCGGGAGCTGTCATGTTGGGAGGATGACGTAGCTGGGATCACAAGCTCCTTCTGGCTCCCTGTTGTCATAGGAGACGTGGACGCATCTTTTCGAAATTCTGCCACTGTCCCTGCATGTACAATAAAGGAAATAATTTGGGCATTCAATAAAAGAAAATGCAAGAGTCTATCATGAGTAATATATGAGAGATTATAGGAATCCCCAAGCTTTAGAAGTAAGCTCTCTTCCCCTCTGAAATGCAACAATGGCAGATGGGAAGCTCGGCGGGTTGTTTTGGTTTTATAAACACCAGTGGTCCACAATATCTTGTTTTTAAAAACGTGGGTGTGTGCAATAACAGACTAATTAGAGATTTGATTGGTAAACCTGACGGTTAAAGTCCTGATGATTTGCGTTTAGGGTAAAAACGCCCAAGAAAGTAGATTGCTTTATTTTGCTCCTTTTAACTGTCATAAGAAAAGTTCTATCCTCTCCTTGACAAAATAGAATATAGAAAATTTGTACCTTTAAGCCCTCCAAATTAAATTGATTCTACCCCCAGAAAACTTTCAAAGTAGGCATAAATTGTGAACGCTTCTTTTAAGGAACCCAACATTGGGCTAAAACAAGTAAGATGCTCAACTAACCATTCCAGGGCTGATTTGGTTTCTGTTCCTAACGAGCAAGGTTTAGTTGATAATTACGTTTTACTTTTGGAATGCTAAGTAATAACATGACATGGAAAGAAAAATCTTTTGTTTCTGTTTTATTATTATTTAATAATTTTCTCCTCTTTTTAAAAACATTTTTAACAAAAATTTCCAACTTTTAATTTATTAAAAATATAATTGAGCTTTATCACATATCAAATTCTCATGATAAAGCTGAAAAGACCTTGCAGATCATCTCTTACATCTCTTAGCATCATCTTTTTGATAGATGCTTTTTATAGGAAGAGCTCTGGCTAACGTTTCATTTTTTAAAAATGTTTTTAAAAATTTAGTTGATATATAATGCTGTGTTAGCTTCTGCTGAACAGAAAAATGCATCAGTGGTTACATATTCATAACTTGACTCTTTCAGACTCTTTTCTAATTGGTCACTGTGGAGTACTGAGAACAGTTCCCTGTACTGGACAGTAGGTTCTTACTAGTGATCTGTTTTATATACAGCAGTGTGTACACACCAATCCCAGTCTCCCAATTCATCCCTCCTCTCTGCTTCTGCTTCCCCCTAGTAAACCATAAGTTTGTTTTCTGTATCTGTGCCTTTATTTCTGTTTTGTAAGTAAGTTCATCTGTGTCATTTTTTTAAGGATTCCACATATTAGTAGTATCATATGTGTCTTTTTCTCTTTGACTTACTTCACTCAGTATGACAATCTCCAGGTCCATGTTATTTTTTCCTTTTTTATGGCTGAGTAATATTCCATTATCTATCTGTACCATATCATATTTGTATGTGGATGATTTCCCACATTTACTGTATGTTTGCCTTTACTAGGCAAATGAGCTTTCCCATTTTTAATTTTCTTGTTTCTATTATAGCTGTGGTCTCTTTTTGTTTTCTTTTCACCTTGCCTAGAGAAGTTTCTTTAGCATTTGTTGTAAAGCTGTTTGGTGGTGATGAATTCTCTTAGATTTTGCTTGTCTGTAAAGCTTTTGATTTCTCTGTACAATCTGAATGAATGCCTTGCTGGGTAGACTATTCTAGGTTGTAGGTTTTTCCCTCTCATCACTTTAAATAAGCATGCCACTCTCTTCTGGCCTGCAGAGGTTCTGCTGAAAAATCAGCTTATAACCTTACAGGTATTACCTTGTATGTTATTTACTGCTTTAAGTATTTTTTTCTTTGTATTTAACTTTTGTTAATTTGATCAATATGTGTCTTGGCATGTTTCCCCGTGGGTTTATACTGTGTGGGACTCTGAATTTCTTGGATGTGACTATTTCCTTTCCCATGTTATAAACTCTTCAAATATTTTCTTAGGCCCTTTGTCTCCTGGGACCCCTACAATGCAAATGTTGGTGTGTTTAATGTTGTCCCAGAGGTCTCTTAGACTGTCCCCATTTCTATTCATTCTTTTCCTTTATTCTGTTCTGCAGCAGTGATTTCCACCACTCTGTCTTGCAGCTCACTTCTTTGCGCTTATGTCTCAGTTGTTCTACTACTGATTCCTTCTAGTGTATTTCACATTTCAGTTATTGCATTGTTTGTTCTTTAAATCTTCTGTCTTTTTGTTAAACATTTCTTGTACCTTGCTGGCCTGTGTCTCCACTCTTTCCAAGATTTTGGATCTTTCAGTTCAGTTCAGTTCAGTAGTTCAGTTATGTCAGACTCTTTGCGACCCAATGAACCACAGCACACCAGGCCTCCCTGTCCATCACCAACTCCCAGAGTCCACCCAAACCCATGTCCATCAAGTTGGTTATGCCATCCAACCATCTCATCCTCTGTTGTCCCCTTCTCCTCTTGCCTTCAATCTTTCTCAGCATCAGGGTCTTTTCCAATGAGTCAGCTCTTCGCATCAGGTGGCCAAACTATTGGAGTTTCAGCCTCAACCTCAGTCCCTCCAATGAACACCCAGGACTGATCTCCTTTAGGATGGACTGGTTGGATCTCCTTGTAGTCCAAGGGACTCTCAAGAGTCTTCTCCAACACCATAGTACAAAAGCATCAATTTTTTGGCACTCAGCTTTCTTTATAGTCCAACTCTCACATCCATACATGACCACTGGAAAAGCCATAGCCTTGACTAGACAGACCTAAAGTAATCTCTCTGCTTTTTAATATGCTATCTACGTTGGTCATAATTTTCCTTCCAAGGAGCAAGCGTCTTTTAATTTCATTGCTGCAATCATCATCTGCAGTGATTTTGGAGCTCAAAAAAATAAAGTCTGACACTGTTTCCACATCTATCTGCCATGAAGTGATAGGACCGGATGCCATGATCTTAGTTTTCTGAATGCTGAGCTTTAAGTCAATTTTTTCACTCTCCTCTTTCACTTTCATCAAGAGGCTTTTTAGTTCCTCTTTACTTTCTGCCATAAGGGTGGTGTCATCTGTATATCTGAGGTTATTGATATTTCTCCTGGCAATCTTGATTCCAGCTTGTGATTCTTCCAGCCCAGCATTTCTCACGATGTACTCTGCATATAAGTGAAATAAGCAGGGTGACAATATACAACTTTGATGTGCTCCTTTTCCTATTTGGAACCAGTCTGTTCGATGTCCAGTTCTAACTGTTGCTTCCTGACCTGCATATGTGGAGGAAAGCTTTCTTATCTCTCCTTGCTCTTTATCTGGGTCATGAAGATCGTTTTTGTACAGTTCTTCTGTGTATTCTTGCCACCTCTTCTTAATATCTTCTGCTTCTCTTACGTCGCTACCATTTCTGTCCTTTGTTGAGCCCATCTTTGCATGAAATGTTCCCTTGGTATCTCTAATTTTCTTGAAGAGAAGTCTAGTCTTTCCCATTCTGTTGTTTTCCTCTATTTCTTTGCATTGATCGTGGAGGAAAGCTTTCTTATCTCTCCTTGCTCTTCTTTGGAACTCTGCATTCAAATGGGTATATCTTTCCTTTTCACCTTTGCTTTTTCTCTTCCCGTCTTTTCATAGCTATTTGTAAGGCCTCCTTAGACAGCCATTTTACTTTATTATCATTATTATTTTGATGCTTTTTCAGGTAGACTATATCCTCTTCATTTAGTTGTTCCTGTAGGTTTTTATCTTGTTCCTTCGTCTGCAACAGAGACATATTTCTCTGTTGACTCATTTTGTCTAACTTACTGTATTTATGGTCTCCTTTCCACAGGCTGCAGAATCGTAGTTCCTCTTGCGTCTGGGGTATGTCCCCTGGTGGGTGAGGTCCATTCAGGGGCTTGTGCAGGCTTCCTGGTGGAAGGGAATGTTGCCTTGTGGTGGGTGGAGTTGGGTCTTGTCCTTCTAGTGGGCAGGGCTGTGTCAGGGAATGTGTTGGGGATGGCTGTAAGCTTAGTACGACTTTAGGCAGCCTGTCTGCTGATGGGTAGGGCTGTGTTCCTGTCTTGCTGATTGTTTGACTGGAGGCGTTCCAAAACTGGAAACTGCAGGTTGTTGAGTGGTTCCAAAATGGGGATCCTTGAGAGAGCTCACACCAATTAACATTCCCTGATGCCTCCGCTAACAATGTCCTTGTCACCACAGTGAGCTATGGTCGATCCCTGTCTCTCCAGGAGATCCTCCAAGACCCCTGGGTAGGTATAACCCAGGTTCCTATGGAGGTATTGCTTTCTGCTAGGTCCCAGTGAATGTAAAATCTTGTGTCCCCTACAAGAGTGGAGTCTCTGTTCCCCCAAGCCCTCTGGAGCTCCTTTACCTAAGCCCTGCTGGCCTTCCAGACTAAATGTTGGCAGTTCTTCCACCCAATTTGAGACCCTCAGACAGCCTTAGAGGGCTACTTTTTACGCGCGCGTGTGTGTGTGTGTGTGTGTGTGTGTGTGTGTGTGCTGCTTGGTGAGAGGGCTGTGTTCAGTATGAATGTTTGCCACCTCTTTCCTCAGTGTATGCTGGCCATTATCCCCTTGGTAGGGGGATTTGGCTGGTGTGGTGACCAGAGCCTGCCCTGGATGCTGAGCTTGAGGGGGCTCCCCTTTGCTCTGTAGTTGTCACTGCTCTGTCAGGGGCAGGGTCTGCTCCTGAGCTGCTGTAGCAGAGGCCTCAGATCTTATTCTTGCTGTGCTTCGCACCTGTGGTGCAAGGCAGGCAGGTCTGGGGCACTCCCACTGGGAGAGAAGTCACTGAGAATCCCTCCTCCGGAGCTGTTCGTCTGTGGGTATGCTTTCTCGTGTCATTTTTCACCTGCTGCGTGAGCTCCCAAGTTCCTATGTTGCTGGCACTGCTCTCAGCCCTACTGTAACAGTGTGGATGCCAGCAGTTGGCCCTGGTGTCTTATCAGGCTTTGTCTTCACCAGGCCACCAGCATAAATCCACTCAAGGCAGGTCTCAGGACTGCAGGAATCCTGGATCTGGACCCACTGCAGGCACTACGGGGGCAGCTTGGACTCTGACTTGGTCCACTCCTGAGTGTATGTGCCGACAAGTTCCATAGCTGCTACAACCAGACCTGTCTCAGTTGTGAGGGTACTTGTC